AATGAAATGATTTTAATCTACCGCAAATGTTCACCTTGCGAGTGCATGTATGAACAGTTTGTTTCACAAATATCTCAGACATTGAAGAAAGAAAACATTCTATTTTAAAAGCGTTTAATTTAATTTTAAAGAAATGAGCGTCTCAGGTTTTAACTTTGATTCTTGATTTATATGGCAGAAATTAACGGCTCATTTTTTAAATTTTCGATGTTTTTCTATTATTTTTATTTATCCCAATATTTTGCCAAGCGACTTTGTGACACATCAGTCTTTATTAAAAATTATCAAGTAGAATTAGAAAATTTTAAAATAAAGAAGCAAAAACGGATATTATAACCAATGAAGCTTTTAGGTAAACATATTAACAGATTCGTAACTATTTGAAGTTTATGTTTGACGATTATTGCAAATTTTGGCATAATTTTAAACGTTTTCTTCTTAGCCGGTGTTTTCTTGACCTTTTGTTTATCTTTAACTAAAGAATTTTAAGAAAACCACGTTGTTATAAATTCTCATGAGTATTTATATTTGCAAGGTCTTTAAATATTATCGTTACATTTTCAGGAATATTATCTGTGTACTGCTTTTTGATAGCATCCATTAACGCCACCCGAACAGTAGATAATTTTCTCTCACAGTCAGATGTTCAAAAACTACAAAATATATACAATGAAGGATTAAAATCTAATGACCTTCAATCAATCTACTATTCTGTCATCAATTCAAAGGCCATTCCAGCTGATGTAAAAGCAAATCTTTGTAAGAAACTTTCCACCATTCATACTGAGTCGAAGTTAAATGTGAGTAAAAAAATCCTGTCGAAGATGAAATTAAAACTGAAATCAATTTTCTGTAGGATTTTGAAAAGAACTTTTATTATATCGGTGCCAGCACTTCGCTTCTGTGCAGTGAAAAGCTTCCAGCAAATTTAATAACACAACTGAAATCATCATTCGACAAAGAATTTTCTTCAACTCAGGAAATGTTTTACAATTTCTACGCCCAAAAGGCGCTTGATCCATCAGTGTTCCAGGAATCTGTAAAAACAAAATTGTCGAAAAATCTACAAGCAATTTTCAAGAAAGACGATTCACTTGCATCTCTTGGCTATGGATTTTATATTGCAAGTGAGCTTGGATCGCTCGGATCATTTGCTTTTGATCGAATTGAGGATGCAATCGCTCAATCTGATGAAGTTGATGGAAAAATGTTGCAATTTGAAGGTGGCTTGAGTATTACATCACTCGTTGTAAACGGAGCTTTCAAAGTCGCTACAATTAACAGCAAACCAGCTCCATTGACCTCAGAACAAGCTACTAAATTTGCAACTTACTTCCTATCACGTCGCTCAGTAACAACAGCTAAAGGAGCAAGCGTCCTCATGGAATCTTTAAAAACTATTTCGGAACAGAAATCAATCACACCCATTGCTATTCGAATAGCTGACAATGGGCAATTACAACCTGAATCACCAATTTTGAAGATTCGCATCACAAATCTTCTTGGAGAAGTTTTGAAAGAAAAACCAGCCGCAGTTAAAGTTGCAATAAAATCGAAAACATCAATTCAAAAAGTTGTTGATGGTGAAAATTTGGCTCCAGTTGCAGCTGATTTAACTCTTTACAAATTGGAATTAGCTTCGAAAAAGTTGCCTAAAGGACAATACAGTGTCGAAGTTGTTGCTGGGGAATTTAAACAGCCAAGTTTGTCATTTACCATTCTCGGAAAGGTGCGATTGGATAAAGTTGAAGTGACAATTGCTGATATTGATTCACAATCGCCATCAAAAAAAGTGTTGTTAGAAGGAGGCAAGAAATTCCCAGAAATTTATTCATTAGATCATCAACAAAAGATTGGACTTCGTTTCGACATCTTTGATGATCAAACAAACAAAGTTATAAGCGTTCATCAAGCGTTTGTTCGTTTCACAGAGAAATCTGGAGAAGAAATAATTTTTATTGCTGAACAAGATGTCGCCAAAGCTTATAAGTTCGAGATGGATGTTGGATTACGTGCTGGTGACTTTGCAGGAAAGTCTGGAACTTACAGCGTTGATCTTATCATTGGTGATTCGTCATTAGTGAATTCTTTCGTTAAGAACTTGGGAGATATTTCATTGAAATTCTCATTGGAGTCTAAAAGAGAATCTGCTAATGTAACACCAGCACGACAAGCTCGACCTGAAATTCATCACATGTTCCGTGAACCTGAGAAACGTCCACCTCGTTTCGTTTCTGACTTATTTACTGGACTTTGTTTTGCACCTGTTTTTGTTCTTTTCATACTTTGGGGTCGCTTGGGAATCAACTGCTCAAACTTTAGCTTCAGTTTAAGTGCACTTGGATTCCATGGAGGTTTAGGACTGATTTTCTCACTTTTCTTGTGCTTTTGGCTTCAACTTGATATGTTCCAAACAATCAAATATTTGCTGCCACTCGCACTCTTCACATTCTTGTGCGGTAACAAAGTACTCAGATACATTGCAAGCAAACGATTAGAGAAACCAGCAAAGGAGTAGACATCGAACCTTTTCTTATTTTGGTCTCAGTTAATTGTGTTCTCGATCTCACACAATGTTAGATAATGATTTAAAGATACAACAAGCAACATGAAAAAGTTTAGAAGCAACAGAGAGATCATACCAAAATGTAACTTTCTTTAATTCCCTTGAACTTTGTCAGCTCATTTCTTATGTAGTTGCGTGGTTTGAAAAAAAAAATAAAATAAATTAAAACAAATTCCTTTGATTTCTTTTCATATTTCCTTTTTAAGTTTAAATATCTAGAAGTATCTAATTTAGATATTTTTGGCTATTATTGGCGTCTATTTAACATTCAAAATTCAATTCTCAAATTAAGATTAAAGTTTTAGAAAGGCTGGTGCTTAATTAAATTTCTTATTCTCTAATTTGTAAAAAGTTAGGAAATAATTGAAATAAATATAATTCTCTCTCATATTTAACATTCAATGATCAAAGCAAACTGAGCTTTTTCAATTTTTAAAATAATTTCCTTTGAAATGAAGTAAAATGTTTCGTCCAAATTTATTGTCAGCTCGTTCCAAGTTTATAATATTTTATAGGAGCAATTCTCAACATCCACAAGATAAATGTTATATAATTAAGACGAAAGATGAAGGCAACAAATTTGTTTATCAAAGTCAAATCATGAAGAATTATGTTGAACGAACCAAGGAGAAATTAGATGACAAGAAATGTTGGAATGAAATGAAAGGGAGAATCCACTGGCAACTGATGGGTACAATCAGACGTTGGGATATTTTAAATAAATTACCAAACTTCAAAGATCTGCAAAAGGACAAGTTATTGGAAATTATGGGAAAAAAGTCTCAAACTGAAGCAGTTCCAAGTGTAAACATTCGTGAAAGTGCAAAAGAAAAATTGAACGCGATTACTTCATCTCCAAGTTTCAAATCTTTCACTTGTCTGTTTTTACAAGTCATCAGAATCTCAAAGGTGATGATAGTGAAATACAAAGATTCCAAACTGGCTGTTTTCGTTGGTAACGTTCACAAATTGATCATAAAAGGACTTCGTAGCCTTATACAAAATCTGAAAGAGAAAATGAGCGCCGAAAACATAAACAAACTTCCAGAAAAAATTAATTCAGCGTGGATGAAATTTCAATCAACATCTGTCTACATAAATGTTGTCAACCTTCCGAAAAACTTCATGATTTTTATGAAATCTTTAAATAAGCAAGTCTCTCATTACTACGTTGCATTTAAAAACTCAAAAGTGAAGGAATCTGTTGTGGAGATGACTTTTTTCATCTGCAGGAGTGGGAAGAAAGGCGCGATAAAAATAATTCAATTCATTCTCGAAGTTTATTTTGGAAAGCCAAATTTGTCAAGATCTTTGAATAAATTTAAGTGATAATTGAGGAACATTTATCGAAAAATATTTCCGACCTGAGAACTTTTTTTTTCAGAAATGAGATAAGTAGAAATAAATCGATGCTGGATTAAGGTCAGACAATATTAAAATCCTTTTGATATGTGGTTGAGTGCAATTATTTTTCTTTTAATAAAAACTTAAATTTCAGCAAATTTTTAAATTGTTGAATATGAGCTTAAAACTCCTAAAACTCTCACTTCAAATTGAAGCCCATTTCAACCTGAAATCCAAAACCAAAACTCATTTCATTTTTAATTTACGAATATTCTTTAATATTTTCATTTCCTTTTTTCAAAAGTTTCTTTGCACTTAAGTTTAAATTTAAATCATAAACTTAACTCTATTAGAAGTTTTAATAATTAGATAATCATTAGAATATTTACACTGAAGATTAGCTTCGCAACACAAATTAAAAAAAGCTTTCAAAAAAATGTTTAAGAAGTTTATGAATTTTGAAAGAAATCACAAAGAAAGTAAAGTTGAAAAAATATCAAATTCATTCTTCCTTCAGTTGAAAGGACATTTTTGATATGGAAGACAATTTTATGTACGTTTTAGGAAATCTAGATGCAAAACTTATAAAAATTCTTTATCCTTCTTCCTCTCATTGTTTTCATTTTTCTTTTCTTTTTGTTGTATGGTTTTGTATCAATTTTGATATGTTGAAGTGAATCGATTGGTAAGTAGAAAAACAATGTCGTAGAAAAGAAAATCATTTCATTGATATTATTACCTAACTGATATTCTTTCTTACATCTTCTTTGACGTATTTATAGAAAAAAAGAAGAAAGAAAGATTTCTTCTTCATTTACGTATTTCTTTTTTCTTGAGTAAATTATTTGCGAAGAAATCTCTTTTTATACTTGTTGCTTTATCAGTTACAACAATATTAAATTATTTTTTAATAGTTTTCGATGAAATGACGTTTCAGAAATAGAAAATTTTCCTCGATGCTTACATCCAGAAAAAATCATTTTTAATTCTTTTTTTGTGTAAAATTACTTTGTTGGAAAATTCCACGACTTAAATCTTTAAAATTCATTGGTTCATTTTGTTTTTGTTTTGTTTCAGTAAATATTGAAATTGAGAAGAAGAACGAAGGTGATTTATGAAAGATTCGCGATTGGCGATATGTTTTGGCACACACTGAATAATTTAATCATCAGCTTTGACTTTAACAATGGCTGAATTTGATGGCACTTGATGTTGCTCCATTTCAGATGAAAGTTTCACTCTCTTAGCGATGTCTGCTTCATCAGAATCATTAGCAGCTCTTCGTTTCATTATGATTTCATCATCATAATTGGTGTTTGCTCCTAAATCACTCGAATCACTGTCGTAATTCTCGTTCATTCCATTTTCATCGCAATCTGCCGGATCATCATGAGATAATGGCGGCAATGGTCCCAACTTTGATGGATCTTTTTCGTTAAGCTTCTTCGCAAGTTGTCTTAAACTCATCAACGAGTTGTCACAGTCACTTGTATCGATATCAGTCAAGTTGAATCCTGATCGTTCCATTTCTGCATAAGTGCCAAAAGGAAGCTTTTGCAAACATTCAAGTTTCAACACATGCATTTTACTTCTTAAATGCTTCGCTAAATGTCCATGAATTCTGAAAGCAATCTTGCAATCTTTGCATTTGAAGGGTCGAGGATTGGACACCGATGGCACACCAAATGTCGATGTCATGTTGACTTTGTTTTGATGACTCGCAGATTTTTCATGCTTTTGCAAGTGACCTTGAGTACGAAAACTCACACCACATGCTTCACAACGATATTTCCTTTCCATGTAATGAATATTCATGTGAATTCTTAATTGACTTGCCTTTTGGAAGACTTTTGAGCACACAACACAAACTGGTCGACCAGTGTCGTCTTGAAGATGCGAATAAAGAAGTTGATCATTCCCAGCAATGTTTGTTGATGTTGCAACTTTCTTATGAAATCCATCCTCACCAACAACGACAGTTTGGGGCGTTAAAAGTATTGCAGGTGTTTCTTGATCGCTCATCCCATCAGTTGACTCTTCATGAGTAGCTCTTGGAATTTTTTGTTGTGTTAATTTCAGATATTCTGATGCAACATTCTTGGCATTTGCGTTGTTCGTTTTTGTTGAAGTCATAGAATCTTCACTTCGCAATTTCACTTCTAACTTATCAGATTTTGATGCTAAATCAGCTAATGCATCCATCAGACCATTCTTGCTCGATGTCGCAACTATTGATTGATTATTTTGACGTATAAAAAGCGACTTATCATCACCAGAGCTGACATCTTTTCCTGATGAAGCTAACAATGAGATGGCTGATTGATTGTAATCATTTTGTTGACTTTGCTTCATTCGAACATCTTTAAGTGCACGCTCAGTTAAATATTCTTGTGGCAAAAGACTTTCATTGTATTGAATGTTGTCGGTAAAGTTTATGTTTGTACCGATGATTGAATTTGATGGCATTTTTTCAATGTTCGAGACAAGTTGATTTATGAGTAAAGCTGGTTCCGAGAACTTTGGAAGCACATCAACAGCGACACGAATGGTCGGTATTTGACGTTTAAAACTCTCTTGTTTTGCTGGCTTTTTTGTTAAATCCATTGGAACGGCATCATCATCATTGTCATTATGTGATTCTGAAGCTTGAACAATTTGTGGCGCTTCCTTTGGTCGATTTAGATTCGGGTCCGAATAATATTTCTCATGATTCAATAAATCAAAGTCACCAGATTTTAATGTTGATAGGATGACACGACTACGTTCAACATGACTCTCAACTTGTTCATTCGAGCTTGATTCCGTTGCTGTCACTTGCTGGCTATTTGACTGATTAGTTGAATTGTTTGAGTTAGCGGAATGGTTGGACAATGATAGAAGAAGTTGTGCAGCTTCATGTTCTGGCATTCGACTCTTTGACTCGTCGGTATCTGAAAATATTTAAATTAATAACAAATTTCATGAAACTTAGAAGAAACATTCAACTTACCATCACCAGACTCATCGTCATCATCGTCAGAATCGTTGTCATCACTCTCAGACCCACCACGACTATCATTCTCTCTTCCATTAATCTGACTCATTCTTTCACTTCCATTGTCATCAAACTCATTTGCATCATCATCTGGCATTGTCGGAATTGGACTGATCCCTAACTCTGAACATTTCTTAAAGTGTGCTTTTGATTTCATGTGCTTTGTTAAGTTTCCTTTTGTCTTAAAGCTGTAAAGTAAAGTTTTATTCATAAATTTCATTCTTAAAATGTTTTTAATGTTATCACAATTTACCTGAATTCACAATGAGAACAAGTGTAAGGTCGTAGATCGGTGTGAGTTCGAATATGTTTCTTTAACATTGATGGTTTCTTACATCGAATGCCGCACTCTTGGCAAACATATTTTCCCCTTCCACGTCCACGAATGTAAGTGTACTCTTCAGAATTGTCGTATCCCGTCACAGAAGATCCACCACTTGATGATGTTTGAGCATTTTCATCTTTAATTAGTGTCACTGGCACTTGTGTTATTTGATAATTTGAAGGAGCGATCGATGTTGCAACTTTGGTTGTTGTTAATTCAACTAAACTGACAAGTTCCTTCTTATCGTTAGCGACTGAGAATTTGACAGACTTCTGACGTGAATCGTAAAGACTCATAGCTGTGTATGGTGTCAAGTCAAGAATATTTGGATTGTTTCCATTGTAAATCTGCCAATTGCTGTACATCGAAAGCTTATGTTGATTTTGAATATAAACCGGTTGAGGTTTGTTCACCGTACAATAGAAAGTCTTGGTACTTGATTTGAGACCCAAATAGGTGTAAGCATGACCATTCAAATACATTTGAACACATGATTTAGAAGGTCGTGGAGTTTCAGGTGAAATCAGTGGAAGTGTGTTGGCTGTTGGCGTAATTCCGTGATGTTGTTTTGGTGTAAATGTTCCCGGTTTAAGTGGCAAACTTGTTGGTCTTAAAAATGATGATTTTGTTGATTTCATCGTCACTTCTTGTTGATGTTGTTGACCATCTTCTTGTGACTCACCAACAATCAAATTATTCTCCTTCTTACTTTCTCCACTTCGATTCGCATCGATGTTGTCAGCAATCCGAGCGAAATTAAAAGATTTCTTCTTAGTCATCACACCATTCGGTCGTGGCATAATTTGTGATGCGTCTCTTAACGATGACATCATTCCATTCATTTTCATTGATGGTGAATTCATTCGTTTGTCTTTGATTGGAGCTGGTGGAGGTGGAAGATCATTTTTGTTAATTACATTTGTTGTGTTTGGACCAGGAATTCCAGGTACGTATGGAATTACGCGACCACCATGAACAATCGATTGCGTTCCAATCGTTGCTGTTGACATCAAAGGCAATGTCAATGGATTATAAACAGTCACCGAAGATGGAAACTGAAAATGATTTGATTTTCCACTTCCAAACATAGAATTAGTTGTAAGCGTCGGTGCAAGTGTTGGTGTGATTGTTACAATTAGTTTTGGTGTGACAGGCGGTGGGCCATTACCAGGTGTAGTCGTTGGTGATTCTTTCTTCAGTTCTAAAGCAATTCCACCTGAAAGACCTTGACGCATCATATTTGGACTCGTGTCTTTAAGTGTCTCAATTGGTCCTGGACCTTCAACAAAACTTCCACCAGATGGAAAGTTTTTGCTGTTGACATTTGTCTTCTCTTGAAAGATTTTCATATCACCACCGAAAAGCGTTTGCATTTTTGCTTCCGAAATTGACGGATATTCAAGTTTAGGTTTCTTGATGATGACGCCAAATTCATCGTCGGAGCGTTTATCGACGAGTCTTGTGTTGCCAAGTAATGGTCCTGGAGATGGCAAAGGATTCTTTATGACAGCCTGATGATGAATATTCGGTTTGATTGCTGATATCGAAGGATTAATTGTGATATTGTCAGGCTTATGTTTTGGTGCCTTGAGTTGCGATTTTGCTAATTTCTGCAGACTTGAAGGATTCCGTGATGTTCCAACTTTCAGTTGTGATGAAGCGAGTTGACTAAGACTGGTTGGTGAATGTTTTTCACTGCTTGATCTTGGATAGTAAGGAGATGAAATGCTACTTGATGGACTTATTGGCGCAGAACGTGAAAGAATATTTTCTTCACCTTGGCAATGACAAATCAAATGATATTTGAGAATATCAGCGCCACGAAACGAGAGTTTGCATGTTGGACATGTGTAAGATCCATCGCCAGTTTCACCATCAACAGCACCAAAGTTTTTCGAATTTAAAAGTAAGTCTTTGATGATTGAACCTTCAGGATTTTGTGGATGACTTGCTGGTACAACAAGTTGTGTTGCTTGTACTTGTGTCTGTGGCTTTTCTTCTTGTTGCTGTTGATTCGACGTAATCACCAATGGTGATGGATTTTCAATCAAGTAACGTTTCCTTGGAGTTGTACAATTTGCACTCGTTCCAACATCGACAGTCAACGGTTCGTTAATTTTTATAAGATTCAGTGGTTGTTGTGTCGACATGTGATATCGGAGAATCTCTTCGTCATGAATTTTCTGCTGTTGCTGCTGTTTTAAAAGTGCAAGTGCAAGCTTTGAATTTGATTGAGGTGGAAGTTCTGTGCCAGTCGAAAATGGACTCACACATGACGTTGTTGATGATGATGTTGATAAATGTCTCTGAATTCCTGTTATTTTATGATATTTCTTTTGAAGCAAAGCTTCAACCTTATCAATAATTGCTTCATTATCGCTTATAATTTTACTGATGCGTTCTTCGATTATTTGTGGAGTCTTGAGAATGAAACATTAAATTAGGATAATTTCTTCTTCATTATATTTAATTAAACTTACCAATTGACCTGCATTTGTGCTGAAGAATGACGGCGTTGAAGGTGTTGATGGTGTACTGACGCCAGTACCAGTCGGAGGTGCAGATGAGACCACTAAAGGTGTCGTCTTTGACAAGTCAAGCTTCTTATAATTGTGAAACTTGGGCTTGTAAGGTTTAACAGCTGCTGATGATGTATCACTGGAAGAATTGGCAGGATAAGCAGCTGATGAATTCGATGATGATGACGATGAGTTTTCACCGAAATGTCCATTCATCTGACTCTCCATGACAATTGAAGGAGATGACAAACGATTCATCTAAAGGTAAAAGTTTAATTAAGAATAGCACTCAGTAACATTAATGTCAGCTTACCGTTTCTAACTGCGTTGATTCAGCTTCATCAATATCACCAGACTCCAAAGAACAACCGTCTTCGTCGTTTTGATTGGCGATCAACGCACTTGTTGGATCAGTTTCTCCGTTACACCTCTGAATGTGAGCTCGAGATCTGTTGACGATGAAAGCGAGAAATGTTAATTAAATTACTTGATTGTTAATTGGACGAAGACACTTACCGACAATGCTTGTAGAGGTTACTCTTAGTCTTAAATGCAAATCCACAAAGAGTACATGGATAAGGTCTTTCGTTTGTATGCGCACGAATATGCTTTTGAAGAACTGAAGGTTTTGCACAATTAAGTTGACAATAAGGACAAATGTAACGACCCGGTGTTGGACCTGGAGTTGTTGATGTTGGCACGTTTGAAATAGATGTAAACGGAGTGGTGGGTGGTTGATGACTTGAATCTACCGTCGCTTGTTGACTGTTAATTATCACGAAATTTCCGTTCGACGTTTGACTAAATGATCCACTGACTTCCTGATGGCTTAATATTTTATGCCGATGATCGGCTGGCTGAAAATTACTGTTGTGATTGTGATTGTGATTACCAAGAGTTGTAACGGTGACAAATTGACTTCCACTTGCGATCGGTGTTAGAAGAAAGCTTGATGCGTTGTTCTGATTATTATTCAATTGATTGACACTCTGATGTTGGTTCTGGTGCATGAAATTCTCATTGTTGATATCAATTATATCTTTCACCAGTTGCTTCTCTTCCTCGGTTGTTAATAAATGTTTTGGCGGTGATGGCACAGAAAGAAAATGATTATTTCTCAGACTTAAATCTTCGTTGACACTCTTCGAAATCTCATTAGTATTCGAGTTAACCGGCGTCCAACTGTTGTTTTTATTCTCTACAATTTCGCTATTGTTATTAAGATATCTGTTAGCGACGATTGTTGATGTTGCTGTTGTTATGGTTGTTGTTGATGTTATTGTATTGGATGCTGTTGTTGCAGTGTCCCTTCTATGGCTATTACTTTGATTACTATCTACAGTGGCACAAAACTTTTTAAACTTTTTATGCAGGTACTTTGAGTCGTTTGTTGTGTTTGTTAAAGTAGATGTCGACGTGACAAGTGATGAAGAAGATATTGTAGAAGCGACTGAAGTTACTTCTTGGTCCTTGTTGACCTTTTCGTGGTCAATGTTTGTGCGATTAGAGAATATAGCGGGTGAGGATTTAACCAAAGAAATCTTTAAATCATCAGCTGTTGTCGTCCCACCAGGATCATCTGAAAAGATAAAAAATGTGGAAGCAGATTTAGTAAAACGAAGTTTTATGGGTTAATTTGATTAAAATGAATTCATTCGATTTTGTTTTCTTTCTTGTCTTTTTTATTCCAACAAGAAGGCAAAGGTCAAGTTTTCAAACAGCTCATCCAACGAAGAAACCACACAATCACGTCTTCATTCTTTTTTTATTTCATTTCGCACTTTATTGCGACTTTTAACGTTCATGAAATTTCTCAATGATGACGAGGATTATCTGCTTGTTTTAAGCTCTGACTACAAATATTTAAATATCATCATTACGATATTTAATTAATTAATTTATTATTTTTCTTTTGAAAAACGTGTATGAACGTGGAGGGAAGTAAATTTGAATGACGATTTCTTTAGGTCAAAAAGGTTTGTTTATATGTTTCAATGACAACTATTTACGAATGACGATTTTCATGCAGGCTGACACCTTTCATGATCGTTTCACATATGATTCAAAAACTGAAGATTTTCTTAATAAATTGACGTCGTATCACATAAAATGTTTCACGACGATTGTCGAAAGCAATAATTTTACACTTAAGTTCTTATTTAATGACTTGAACTTTACCAGAAAAGGTTATCATTGTAATTTCAACTGTAATCAGAGAACGCGTTGATGTCATAACAATTTACATTTCAAGTTCGACAAAAAAAAATATTTAAATAGAGGAATCCCCACCGATGTTATTCTTCTAGAAACATTCAATATCTGAAGCAGCTAAACCGCCTGATCAACCTGATCATTAAATAAAGAAAAAAAACACCATAGAATGTCACATTTGATCATTTGATTACCATACTGTCGCCACTTGCCCCACTCTGCAGACATTTTCAAATCTCGAAATAATTCGCACTTTATTAGCAAAATAAAAAAAAACACACGAACGCGATTTCGAATGAATTTTATTTATTTATTAATTTTTTTCTTCTTTCTCAACTAAATACGATGATCGCGCTCATCTGCAATATGCAAAATGAAGACAAAAAAAAACACTTTTTTCAAAGCAATTCTCTACTCAAGTCAACAAAATAAAAAAAAGGCAACGAAATCGTATTGAATTACAAAAATTACGACAAAAAACCAGTAGAGAAACCGAAAGCAAGCAACGTAAAGAAACTTCCCGCTATGTATAAGTAAGCTTGCTAAGCGCACAAAAAATCAGCGTTAAAAGTATGCACGATACCGCGAAATGAAATAATAGCGGCAATAAAACGTCGCCATCGTTGATTGAAAAAAAAAGCAACGAGCGAGGAAAGAGAGACTTGAATATCATAACAAGTATTCATACAATACGTAAAACGAGGGGCTATTTTCGTCTTAATTCCATTTCATACTTCAATTGTTGTTCATTTAAAGCAAAGCGAGAAGAACGACAGACACGACAGAAAAAAAATACGAATGGAAATCACTCGCCAATTGCCCGGCATTGAGATGATAGAAGAATACAAAATAAGAAAAATACGCGATTAATAGCATTTCAATTTTGTAGAGAATTAACATCATCTGTTGACGATATTAATGAGTCACGTCCATAATAATTTCAAACGCAAATATACTACGTCATCATTCGATCTCTTGACATTTCATTGGATATTCGTGAATATTCGATTAGCTTTTGAGTTCTACGGCATCACCAAAAAAACAAAGAAAATGTCATCGATTTCCGGCATCAAATTTATCATGGATGGAAACCCTGCCGAGTGAATCATTTAGCATGATCAACACAGTTGGACCGTCGCCTTTCACATTCCATTCCACGAGTCGTAAGCTACTCAACCGACAGCCGTACGCGATATTTTTCAAATTACCGATATTTACATTTCATTCAAATGACTTCACACATTTGGCTTCACCAAGTAGAAAATTGTTGGTATTGGTGACTCAAGTTGTTGTTTTTTCTTACTTATTTTAATAAGTCTTTGCAAATGATGTAATCATGAACTCTTAGGCTTTTCATAGTTCGCTTGTCATTTAACGTGACACATGATTGGAATGGCGCCATTTAAAATGTAACTGTAGTTGATCAACAAGACCAGTTCAACTTTTTTTCTTCTTTTCGATTCAGCATTTTTCTTGTCTAAAAAATTTATTCGTAGACTTTGGCCTTGGAAAATGACGATTTTATTATTATTTTGAAAACATGTCGAGTTGTTGTTGATTCTTGAGTCATGATGTATTTATATGTTTTACATATTAATACAAGCATATTTCATTACAGTTTTTATAAGTGTATGAATGTAACTTGTATGTTTAGCTAGCTAAATACTTGATGAGATGTTGCCTACTCTCAATTTTAAATCACATGAAAGTTCTTTATTTAGTTTTATCTTAAAATTGTTTTTGCGTGCTCCACATTCTCACAAAACAATAAAAGAATCTTTTGATGCTTGCTTTATGTTTTGTTATTTAAAACATTTATGGGCCAATGACCTTTGACCATTTACTTCTGATCGCATTATGAAGAAAACAATATCACAAATATACAAGTTCGAGCCGCATGATGTGTCATCAACGAAGCAGCACATGAGAAATGGAAATTCCCTTATTGCTTTAACTACCGATTCAAAGTACATGAATGAATAAAGGAGTTTGTTTTTATGTTTTCCGCTGTAATAATCATGACATCGATCGTTTATATCATATTTAATGACAACTCGTTCTTCAAGTAGACGATCATTTATTTAATTACGCTCGTCGCGTGAACTAAAACTTTAATCATTTTTAAGCGATTAATTTCTGTTTCCATAAATGAAAGATGTTTACATAATTCCACAACTTATAGTGGAACTCAATTTGTCAACAATATTTATGAATATAAATAGAATGTCATTTGCCGATTGCAATCCGCAATTCTGAAATAAACATCTACATTCATACTTAGTTATTAAAGTAATTTCAAATGTAAACTTTATTTCAAGATTTTCTATCTTGAACGTTTCGACGTCAAATGATTTAACTTCATATTCAGCTGATAACGTTTCACATAGCGAGCTTTGTTCTAGAAACTTTTCTCTACATACCTCGTGACGTCAGAAATCACAAACTTAAGTTGAGTATTTAGTTAGATCAGTTTCTGTGGGTAATTAGCTGACTGATAAGGATAGGAAAAGTTGAAGTGACAGAAAATTTATGAGACTTCAGTAACACACATATTTTTGTCGAGTACTGATAAGAATAAAGTATTGAGATGATAATTTTCTTTATGAACAATCAACGTAACGTAATGTACAGATTTATTTGATTGTAAAGCCTAAACAATTTCAATTGAACCGTCAAATTGTTAAAATTAAATGAATTTTTTTTTAATTCTAAAAATAAAAGAAAAAGCGTGCATTGAGATATCAAATTCTTGAAATTATCGACCTCGTTTTCGCGACCAGCGCCGCCAAGTTACATTTCGTATCGTAGTGAATGGCAAAAATAAAACTATAAATTAAAATTACTCAGATAATTAATTATTGGCCCCACTTTTCGTTCTTATTTTTCAAAGCTTAAATTACTTAAATAACGAAATGACGCCAACGTTAAGTAAATTTTATTTTATTCCTTGTTCAATCAGTCACTAACTTACTTATACCATTTATGAAATTCACGCGCACGGTGTGAATAAAAACCAGAAATCCGGACTTGGTGATTAATACAAAAACTGTTGTTGGCAAACAAGCGACTGTATGACTATTTGATGTGATAAAAACCGGTAATATTAGCTCAAGCATCGTGGGATGAGTGGATTTATTCATTCCACATGTATTAGTTTCATCTGAATTCACTTTACTCGTGTTTACAACTGTTGATTTAATTTTACGTGGTGATGACGTCACCTTCAAAGCGTTTCTCCACACACACGTTTGAAGAAGAAGAAGCGTTTTATTATTCATTTTTTTTTTCGTTAATTTAAATATTTATTTTACTTTGCATAGCAGTCAGCATCGAATCTGAATAGTTTTGTTTGTGGCAACGAGCTGTTCAAATAATTTGTTCGATGACTCGATGCTTTTAAACGGCAAGTTTTGACATCGCGTAGGGGTCGAATTAGTTAATTTTGCGACAATATGCTACCGATTGAAAAAGAGAATTAAAACGTGACCTTGTCTATTATAGAAATTGAATTCATTTGACTAAACAAAACTCGCGATGACGTCGAAAATGACAAATCATTCTTGTGTTGTATTTAATGTATTCAACAGAAAAGCTGACTTAATCGATATAAGTAAGAAACGAAGAAGAAAATAAAAACTTCAGCAGCGAAACATTCCGGCGACTGTTAATTGCTCAAAGCAGAGTCCATGAGTAATTATTGTTGTTGTACGTGAATGGAGTCTGTGTAAAAATGAATATCAACGAACGGAATTACTTGCTTACAATTACATCATTTGAGAAGGCGCGTGTTTTGCTTGTTTCTGTTTACGTTTCAGTTGATTCATTCTTGCTCTCATCAGAGGTTTTCCAAATACATTCGCTTAAGCTTATTAGAGATATTTGTCGTTAATAATTCAATGGCTTCATCTGTTGCTTTATTGTCGTGATGAAGATTTTTTCAATTTGAAAAGAAAACTTAGCAACGAGGTCAATGTGTGTTGTTGATCACAAAGCCCTTAAGTTCCATTTATTTACTTTTTGATCGCTTAAATTAGCTTTCGAAATATTTTTTTGAACACTTTTTACTGCCGAAGTCAAGTATGGGAAGAGCAGAGTGAGTGGTTGATTCATGAATTTTTCAAAGATTTTAATTAATTGCTTGAACGACCTCTCACTGTCAGAAGGGAAACGCGAAAAGTAAAACTCTTAAAAATCATTTCAAAAGTATGAAAATCAAAAAATTTATAAAAGAAAAATTAAAGTGCTTCAAATGATTGTGAAAAGTGACGTCACATCTAAAAGTTATTTATAAAATTTCTTGCGCTTGCTTCACTGCTGTCACTCGTTTTAATTAGCTTCAATTATTCTGAATGCAAAGGTTTGTTATTTACTTGATATTTCAACAAGCTCAACAAGGATTGTATGGTTGACAATACTTGAAGTTCGTTTAATGATTGGTAAAATCTTTGAAAATTAAGTAAATAAAAGTCAATGATGTATCATCTTGTCAGAATAAATTTTAAAAATAATTTAATTAATTCTAAATATTGGCAATATATCGTACCATTAACTTTTTTTTCATGAATGTTGAATCTGGAATCATAGT